TCATACATATATGTATGAGTGTGTTAGCAAGTATTTATTTTTCATATTTTTACTAATACCTCATACATAATGGTGGGATTCATTGTAGCTCAAAGTCTTAAATGTCTGCTTATGGAATGTGCTTCAATGACTCTCAGGTTTCTGGGAAGCTGAAGGCAATATTTTTCTCCTCTGATATAGAAGTGCCTTTGGAAGTAGAAATGCTTTCAAATATTCCAGTGAAATAGGGGGTCTAGTAAACTATTACTTTTTAAAAAAATTACTCTATTGCTTACTTGAGAAATAATCTCATATTCCAGGGGAAGTTCCAAATGAGGTTTCATTAGTAACAATGTTGGTGTCGATGCTCAGTTCCTGGGGGATTTGCAGCAATCATGGATGGGTTCAGGTCTGGTCATATTATGCAAAAGAAGATGGTTTGAACCTTTTCAAACCATGGGTGAGGCGACCAACTAATTTGGCTAATTGTGTTCTGTGAGCTTAAAATATATATAAAAATATATTTCTAAAAACTGAAAAGTTGGATCTCATTTAGTGGCAATATTTCTAATTATGCTTCTGTAGAATAGACCCTCCTCAGGGGGCTGTGGCTGTGGCTGTGGCTGTGGCTGTGGCTCAACAGTAGCACACTCTCCTGGCATGTGTGAGGCACTGGGTTCGATTCTCAGCACCACATACAAATAAGTAAAATAAAGATCTATCAACAACTAAAAAAAAAAAAATGAAAAAAAAAGAAAGAAAAAACCCTCTTTAGGAAGAAAGTTGGTTATGTAAAAATTTTACATTTATATCACTTGTTAAATTTATTGTCCTGTGTCTTTTTCAAAGAAATACCTTGCATTTCTAGTGGATGTTTTCTATAACAGACTTTGGGAGACACTGGAGTAGTAACTATGTGATCAGGGATGTACTTTACGTCATTCATCCAGGAGCTATTTACATTCTGGATAAAGAGGGGGAGAAACAGCATAGTAAATATATTTCAGGTGATGAAAATAATTATAGGATCATAGCATAAATACATCTTGAAGATGAACTGAGCAGAATTTTGCAACTGAATTGACATGGGCAACAAGGACAGGACATAGGCAGTAAGGATTCATAGGTATTGGAACTTAAACATTTTGTAGGGTAGGAAAATGGGGAAACTTATAGAAATTGGGAATATCAAGAGTTGTATCTTTGTTCAGATCTCTTTGTGGGATCTGGACAAATTCACTGAAGGAATGAAAGACTGTTTTGCTGGAAACAGTTGAGTATCCTGATTAGCACTTA